GTGAGCTGTGATGCCACAGCACTCTACCCAGGGGGAAAGCTTGAGGCTCTGTCTCAAAAAAAAAAATAAAAAATAACTATGCAGAAATATCTATTCCTAACAGAAGTATGATCAGTACCACAGTAATTTAAACTAAATCCCAAAACAGGCCCCCAAAACCTTTCGCTCCAACATTTTGGGGTTTTGTTGTTGGGTTTTTTACTTTATTTATTGATTTTAGTTTATTTATTTATTTATTTTTCAGACAGAGTCTCACTCTATTGTCCTGGTGTTAAGTGCTGTGCTGTCATAGTTCACAGTAACCTCAAACTCCTAGGCTGATCCTCTTGTCTCAGCCTCCCATGTAACTGGGACTATAGGCATCTGCCACAAAACCCAGCTAGTTTTTTCTATTTTTAGTAGAGATGGGGTCTCACTCTTACTCAGGTTGGTCTTGAACTTCTAAGCTCTGGCGATCTACCCACCTCAGCCTTCCAGAGTTGCTAGGATTACAGGCGTGAGCCACCATGCCCTGTCTAATATTTTGTTTTAAAAATTTCAAGCATACAGAAAAGTTAAAAAAATTTTACAACAAATACTAATATACCTACCACCTAGATTCTCCCACTGACACAACTATACTTCATAGATCTATCCATTCCCCCCACAAAGCATTTCAAAATCTGCATTTTATGGGGAGCTCCTATCTACTGACTTACTTCCATGTCTCAATTACAGTTGGGGCCTGAAAGAGTATGAGCAGACAGTCAGTCTCAGTCCCCACCCCAGGAATAGGACCATGGCAGGTCTGCACCCCCTAATAACATGATTCTCCTTGGAGCCTCCTCTCTGGGAGGTTTGCCCCCTGCTAGAGAAGCACCATGCTGAGGGCATGCCTCCTGCAAGCAATGAGGGACAGTTACTTGGCATGAGGGACTGAAGAGAAGCAGCAGAAATGGCAGAGGACAAGCAGTGCCCTGAGCCTGGGTAGTACTTCTGCTAGAGAATCTTTTGCCCCAAAGATGGGAGGAGGGAGGGGAAGGGGGGAGAACAGTCAAGAGGTGACCCCTCAGAGCTCAGCAACACACATCCTAATTTGGGAAAGTGTTTTGTAGCAAACCTCTCAGCCAATCATTCCAGATTTTCTACCTCTCAGTCCAGTTTTCCTAACACTGCAGTCACAGGAACCCACCTGACTGGGAATTCCACAACTGTGTCAAGCTTATCCCTCCAGTATCTGTTGTAAGAGAAACGTTTGAGGTGGACCACCAGGATCTTGGGCAAGGACCATAGGTCAAACTTTTTTGTGGCCTGCTGATGCTTCTTACAGTTGGGACAATACCTGAAGAGAAAAGAAAAGCCAACACTTAGCCAGGAAGGCAGACAGCTAGTGTCATCTGGGCACTCAGTCCTACCATAGCTTCCATTCCTTCAGGCAGCTCTCAATGCCACTACTTCAGTGCAGGGGCCAGCCTTCAAAAACAAGGTGTTGGCTTTCTAGGTCTGGAAACCAGAACTCACATAGAGAATTATGTTGTAAGTTTGGCCATGTGAAAAAAATGACAGGTCCAAATACAAAGGTTTTATTGTTTGTTTGTTTTCCTTATTGTTGGGGATTCATTGATGGTACAAAGAAAAAGGTTACATTGATTGCATTTGTTAGGTAAAGTCCCACATACAAAGGGTTTTTGCATGTACAGACAGCCCTAGCAGATCTCACAGTCCTGGTGACATGTGCCTCTAAAAAGAGTGGGGAGCTGCATACCAGGGGTCATGCTCCCCAAGGGTCTCCATAGTGGTGAAGAGCTCGATGCAATCCCTCAAGGCCACTGTGGTCTTCTTCTTCTTTTGAGGCTGTAACATGCTCACATGCTTCTCATAGATCTGTGAGAAACAAAGCACTGAGTTCTGGACAAACAGATCTTGCTGGATCAACACACAGAGGGCTATAGAAGCTCTCCTGCTTGAAATACAGTGTATTTTTTGGAGACTCTGAAAATAAATTGACATAATCTTTTTTCTTTTTTTTTTAAAGAGACAGTCTTACTTTGTCACCCCCAGTAGAGTGCTATGGCATCATAGCTCACAGCAAACTCAAATTCTTGGGTTCTAGCGATTCTCTTGCCACAGCCTCCTGAGTAGATAGGACTATAGGCACCCACCATAAGGGCCAGGTGGTTTTGTTTTTTTTTCTTAAAGAAACAGGGTCTTCGTCTCACTCAGGCTGTTCTCCAACTCATGAGCTCAGACAATCCACCAGCCTCAGCCTCCCAGAGTGCTAGAATTACAGGCATGAGCCACCACACCAGGCCTTTTTTTTTTTTTAAAGACAGGGTCTCACTTGGTCACCCTGGGTTAAGTGCCATGGCATAGCAGATCACAGCAATCTCAAACTCTTGGATCCAAGAGATTCTCTTGCCTCAGTCTCCCAGGTAGCTCAGACTACAGGCACCCACCATAACACCAGCTATTTTTTTTTTTT